GATGGCATGAAATTCTTATCATCCATCAGTAGATTTTAGGCCATAAGTAGTGCATGTTTTGGGCGGAAACCAATAAATCTTTCATTTGAAGTCGAGCATTCGCAAGACATCCGCTTGCCATAAAAATAGAACTTTTACACTGAGACAACAGATTCTAATAAAGTATGGAACACCAGCAGCGGAAGCTGGTTCATTGCAAATGTCGTAGAACCATATCTTCAAACACAGCGGATGCCCTAAAATGCAAATGAAGTTTCCAATCTATCAAAATAACCAGCTGAAGAAAGATCGGCAAAGAACGTTCCTCACACTCAAACTTGTTCCAAGGTTGCAAGTCGTACTACCAATTCAGAAAATTCTGAATGGACGTGTGTTTATCGTTTGGGGCACGAGACGGTACATTACAAGATTTGTTTTCTGATCACACTGAGCAGCGCCAAGTTATTGAAGCTTTGACTGTGAATCACATCTGTGAGCCGTCATTGAAGTTCATTTATCTTCTCGGTGTTTGCAGCGTTTGATGGATATATTTTCAGCATATTTTTTGGTCTCCGGAGAAACACACGGAATATGAAATATTTTAATAAGAACGCTTTTCTGAGCGTGAGATAATTTGAAGCAATCGGATGATGATCAGTCGAACAAGCTAGTCTAATCATAAAATGGCAAACTGCAAGTAGCAGAGTACTTGGAGTACTTGTGAGGGTAGGGTCTTTACGTATGATTACACCAACGTTTTACATCATTCTTTGCTCGCCTGTTAGTGACTCGAAGAGATGGCAGATTTCATCACGGCTGAACGCGTACGCTGCCACTCCGGACAACCAACATAACAGTCGATTGACGACTCTGGTGTTGGGAGTCAGGCGGCAGGCGGCGGGCGGCAGGTGTGTGCAAACCTGGATTTCAGACAGAGATAGTGGCGATACGAACGTGATACATATGTTGTGCTAGGAGTTAATTTGTAAACAAGTTCGTCATCAACAACTAGCCTTTGATTCTTATTTATTGCTACGTTG